ACTGCTGGACTCCATCTTCGCTTCCTCAAGCATTTGCTTTGTAACCTCCTTCTCTTCCTGGGCCTTCTCCAAATCAGCCTTCAATGCAGAAGTCTCCTCCAGCGCAGCTGATCGGGCCTCCGAAGCATCCGCCAGATCCTCCTCCAGGCGGTCCACCATATCCTTCAGCTCTTCGATCGCGTCCTCGCTTGCTGAAAGCTTGTTCTCAAGTTTGGCCTTTTGATTTGCAGCCTCTTTGAGATCCAACTTGGATTGTTGCAGCAGCAATTCGGTTTCATTGGCACTGCTGGACTCCATCTTCGCTTCTTCGAGTCTGTCCTTATTTGCTTCCTCCAAATCATTCCTTGCAGCTTTTAAGTGTGATTCACTGCCCATTTTGTTGGTAAACGTCCTTTGTTCTTTTTTGTCCTGTAGTGGGCTAATCCCTCTTGTCTTTTTAATCTTCTCAATTTCACCTGCATTCGTATCCTGTGTGGCATCTGCCAAATCATCTTCCAATTGATCAAGCATGTCTTTCAGTTCAACAACTGTATCTTCTCTAGCGGCTAGCCTGGCCTTCAAGGCTTTATTTTCGTTTTTCGTCTCTTCTATTGCGGCCTGGGCCTCCTGTAGCTGCAGTAGCAATTCGGGCATATTGCCATAAGTTGACGCTAAGGGGGGGTTGTCCAGCTCCCGCTTGAGAGCATCTTTTCGTTCCTGAACTATTTGCCATTCAGATTTTACAGCTGCTGACTTGTTCAAAGCAGCTTTTGTTGCTTCTGCTGCCTCGGCCAAGTCACCTTCTAATTGATCCACCTTTTTCTTGAGCTCAGTTATGGTATCCTCCCGATCTGCAAGTTTGCTTGCCATCACAGCTTCTTTGGCAGATACTGCATCTAACAGTTGTTTGTGCAGGTCCTCGACCGTGCCTTGAAGATCCTCCACCTTTGCTGTCTCCTTTGATAAGTCTTTTTTGAGGGATGTCACTTCAGACTTCAACACAGCTGTCTCTTCTAGAGCACCCGTTCTTTCTAGAGTCGAACCTCCCATTTCGTGTTTTAATTGATCTACCATACCGTTGAGCTCGGATATAGTATTCTCACTTGCTGTAAGTTTGTCCTCCAAGTCGATATTGCTGTTTGTTGCCTCTTCAAGTGCATTCTCGGCTTTTTTCAGTTTAGATTGCATTTTGATAGATGCAACAGGTTCCGTTGTCATTCCACCCAACTGCTGTTCGACATGGTCTTTGTCCAATTCTGCCTGTAGCTTCGTGATGCTTATCTTCAACTCTGTCAATTTTTGTTGACTCTCTTGCTCCTTGTCTTCAAGCGACGAAATGTAATTGCCCATTGCAAGATCGGAAGTCTGCAGCTCTTTGATGACACCGTCCTTTGCCAGCAGTTCATCGTCGAGGGCTGTAGAATACGCTCGTAAATCCTCAATTTTTCTTTTTGCTCCCTTAAGCTCCCTTTGTAATTCTTTTATTTTCTTCACTTGTGATTTCTCGGATACCTCAGTTGCAAAGGCCTGTAGGGCAGCTGACTCAATCTCAAATGACTCTTCGGCATTTTTGAATGCTTCTGCGATGGATGCCGAGGAAGCCGTATCAGGTGAAGCATGGGATGGTTCCTGCGCATATGATGGATCTCGAAGATTCCATGATGGTCTATCAGGACTTGCAGAGTTAGCAATTGCTTTGAAAGTGGTGTCATCCGAATTGTCTTCTTGGTCAACTTCTGGCTTCTCCACCGAATCACTTTCCTGTTTCGATACCGAAAGAGAAGGGCTGCGGTCAATTTTGTTCCACAATTCACCTTTCATTTTAGAAATATTTTCTTCATTGGACTGAATTTCTTCATTGGCGGCTTCTAACTCCATTTGCGTGGTGAGAAGTTTTTCGTTCAGTTCCGCCGCATCTTGTTCTCTCAATTCAAGTTTCTTTCTTGACTCTTGTAATTCGTCTTTTAGACCATTCGCAATATCTCGCGTGTGATTGAGACGTTCCTCAAGGACTTGCTGCTCCATTTTATATTCTTGCTGCACTGATTCCATTTGTGATTCTTGTTCTTTCGCAGCAGCAAGCTTCGCCTCCAAGTCGACAACGATTTCTTGCTTTTCGTCAAGTTCTTCCAGGAGTGCGTCATAATCTTCTTGCATTGTCCAAAGTTCTGAGCTGCTGTTACCATCGTGCTTCGCTTCATCTCCCTCAGCAAGCTTTTGGGCATGCATTTTGTAGCGTCGGTTCTTGGCCTGGGCTGCTTCCAGCTGCTTCTTCAATGATGAAAATTCTGCCTCCATGGATGTAATTTGATCCGTCTTCACTGCCAGTTGGTCTTCCAAGACGTCGACTTGTTCTGCATTCTTGTCCAGCTCTTGCAGATCGTCTTTGCCTCCACCACGAGCTATCCGTTGGAAGAAACCAGCTGTCGTCGGAGCAATCGAAAACCTGCCTTTTGTACTCATAGCCATACTAGATCGTCTTCCTCCATGTTCAGCCTTAGCTTTGGCTTTTTCAGCTTTCAAATTGTTATTATCTTTCTGAAGAGTCTCAACTGTTTTAATCATAGTCTGAATGACACCATCTTTCTCGTCAATTTTCTGCTGCAGATCATTGCTTCGCTTTAGGCCTTTTCTTTGCTCGAATAGGATTGCCTTGCGGGCATCTTCTAATTCTGTATTCATATCTTCAAGCGAGCCTTCCAATATCTCAATGGAAAGATCCCGCTCTTGTAATCGTTGCTCGTAATCTTGCAAAGACGGCTGGCCTTCTCGACCTATATGAAAGATAAAGAAACGCAGATGTCAGGGTAAGAGTCAATTGTCGTTTACCAAGGCAATAATGACCGATCATTAGACTACATACCATCTTCAGCTGTCAATCGATTCTCTGCGTCATCACCATCCGCCAACTGCCGTTGCAGTTCTTGGATCTTTACATCCCTCGACTCTAGATCCAGTTCTTGATCCTCGATGATCTTGAGGGCGTCGTACACTTGCTCCTTCAATCGCTCGTATTGGCGAGTTGAGATTTTCGATCCATCCGAGGAGTTGGAGGACAGTGAACTTTGTGAACCTTGGTGATCTGATGATGTTATTTCTGTGGGTCTTCTTTCCGTTTTCTGCCGCCTGGCGGTCGATCGTTGTGACATTCGCTCCAACTGCGATTTGGCAGTGCTGAGCCTTTCTTTCATCGAAGCTACATTATCGTTGGAACCAATATCACCCTCCTTTGTGGTTGCGATTGCCTGTGCCAGCTTCTCTTCAAGCAATTCGATTTCATCTTCCCGGTCAGCGAGTTCTTGGTCTTGATCCGCAATCAAACGTTTGCATTCACTCAAATCATCCCGCAGCTGCTGTGTCGTTCCATCACCATCATCTTGAGGCTGTTGCTGCTGTCTCAAATTCTGAATGAGATGGCTCTTTTCATCCAGCTCTTGTTCCTGTGATTCTATAACTATCAACGCCTCGTTCAATTCATGGCGCAACCTCCAGTTCTCATTTTCGTCGTCACTATCGTCCTTGGTATCTTCTCTCGGCGACGGAGGTGGAGGTGAGCGAACTTCTGCCTCATCAAAAAGTTCCACTTCATCATCGGTTACTTCCTCATTCAAGTTCTTCAGTTTCGATCGATACTTGTTCATCTTGCGAATAGCCTCATTCTCCCGTTTCCGGCTTGACTGGAGTTCCAAGTCCTTGTGTGCTAATTCTTCCTCCATTTCTTCTATTTCGTCTCGCATATCGTCTTGCTTTCGTATCATGCTTTCCACCTGTTGGTCCTTTTCATAAATTTGTTCATCGAGTTCGCGAATCAACAACTGGGATTCTTCAAAATCCAGTTTCATATTGTTGTAATCGTTCCATATTTCTTCAATAGACTTGCCGCCATAACTCGGTTCTTCCTCGATAGTCGCCATTGTGTTTTATCGCGTGATAGGAATTATCTCCTTTTGTGGATGTATAGGTTGGAATGAAGACCTGTGTTTTCGGTTTCTTGATCCTCGTCTTCAATATATTATATTATGGATTATCGATGGATTTTCCTGCAGTATTCAATCCTATGCTTCCGTTTGTCGATTATGCTGCAGTTCTAATATACAGGTTGCCTATTGTTACAAGTAGTATATACGTAAGCAAATGCGGAAAGTGTGCTTAGTTGATCTGAAAATTCGGTGATGCCCTGCAGTGACTCTCTTGTTTGTTGTGTTGTACATGCGTACAAATATGTGTGAAATGTCTCCCATTCTCCTAACCTCCGTAGAATTTTTGGCGTGACGGTTTCAATTTTCGGCGGAGGAGAATGACTGATTTTGGCGTGTCAACAAAGCTGAAATTTACAGCAGATTGCAATTATTAGTAACACTCGGACTTACACCAACTAAAATCTTTCGAAATGCGTATTCGAAGTCGGACCAATTGATCTACTGCTCCTCGCTCGTGGGATGACGAACAAGCTCCGTTGAAGCAAGAAGCTAATCACAACATCGATGATGAAACTATCAGCCACGTCGAGTGTATTGTCATGGGTGATGACCACAATAAATATTAACAATCAACAAGGGTGAGATTA